GGCTCTCTCCCTTGCCTACTGGGTCTCTGGGTGGGAGGGGCTTCTCACTCACCCCTCGTTATCCACTCTTCCGGGGTGCTCAGATGTTGATGGCACCCCTGCAGTGGTTCTTAGTCCTCTGTGTGAAGTTTCTCACTGGCTGAGAGAGCCTGAAGAGCTACGGTTTCCATGCAGAGGGCCACCCCTCCCCTCTCTCTGGGAGCCGTGCCACCCGAGTTGCTGATCTGATGGTGAGGGAGAGGATTTCTCCTTACCTCTCTCCACTTCCTCTAGGGACCCCAGCACATCCACTCTAAGATTTGGGGCAGTGTGGGCCTTTCTGATGTCTCTGTGTGTAGTGTGAGTGTCTCTTGTTGGTCTGTGCTTGACCCTTTGCTGTATCTTATGGGGGAAGAGTTTACTGGAAAGCTCATTCCACCATGATGCTATTGGTATAGTTTTGACTATGTTATCTTTTATCTACTAAAAAATAAATAGAAGAGGGCAGGGAATAAAGCAAAATAGAATAAAATAATACAAATGGACCTAACTGTATTGCAAATCAATAACCATAATTAGACCAAAGGGGAAACTAAAATAACTAACCTAAGTAAGACTTGAACAAAAAAATTTGTCTATATACACACACAATAAGGAAAAAACTGTAAACAAAGCTTTTGAGCTGCAGTTAGATTGTCATTAACAGTGGTATGAGTTCAAGATTCTGAAATTGCTTAACATGTTAAAATATTCAGCAAATAACATATTGTGGAAAAGGGAATGACTCCTCACTATCGATGAAAGTCTCCATGTACATGGAAAATGAGAGGCTGGAAAGAACTCTAGAGTCCCAAACTGAGATATCAACTTGAACCATGACTTTTGATATGTAAAATAAATTGAAATTTACATGTTATATCAATATCTATATTGTTCCCATCCCCCATTCTTTCTGTCCCAATCCTGACCCATCTCCTATGGGTAACAATTTCTTTAGTTTATTAACTGCTAGTTTCTACTTCCTGTGTTTCTTTTATATCTATTTCCTAGTTGTGTCATCTGAGATCATTGAGAAACCTTGAAAACAATGAACACAACTGATGCCAAATTTGGTCTTACCATTTTCCTCTAAAACAGACCAATATACTTAGGAAAATGGCCGATTCCATGGCTGTGGCCAGAACTTGACAAGAATATCCAATAAAATTTTGCTGAGCCTGAAACTAAAATGTGCTCAATGAATCATGGGGACACAAGCCAGCTTGAAGGGCCTCCCACTGGCCAAATCTGGAATAATTTCAGCTTCAAAATGAATAACACTAGAAATGGATTATGACTCAAATAAATAAGAATCCATGAGTCCATAATAATGTAATGAAATCAATGAAAAAAATGAACAAGTGGGGTCTGATGGAAAGTTCCTTCTTATAGGACAACTGATAAACGTAGAAGAAATGATAGAATTATAAAATCACCATTTGGCCTCCACATTTGCAATATTTTTTTCATATTAGATTCACCAATGGATGTTAAATATAGTGGGTGAAATTTTAATAATAAAAACAGCTTATCGTTATATAATCTCAAAATATCTACTAAAATTATACTAATAATAAAGGCTAAAATAGTAACCTTACAGTAGAGAACCTGGCAGATGCCCCCTTACCAATTGATCAAGGATAAAATCACTAATAATTGGAAAAATTGATATCATGTGTCTTCTGATAATATTATGCATATGGTAGACACGCTGAAAATCAAAGTCTAAAATATGCATTCATACCTAAGTAAACATAGTAAAATGTTAACCATTGGGGAATCTGGGTGAAGCATGTGCACGAATTCCTGATATCATTTTTACAACTTTTCTATAACTCTGAAATCATTTCAAAATAAAAGTTAAAAAATCCTTTGTCCTAGCTGGAACCATGCCCAAGAAGAAAGAAGTCCAGTGCATCCCTGGCATCAAGGACACTGACCTCTTGGACTCCAGTCCCTCTGGCTCCTGGACATGCAGCTCCCCAAAGGGTAGTAAGATATCAGGCAGAAGCTTGGGGAATTTATTTCAGTCCTCTCTCCTCTCACTGGAAATTAACATGATATCTTTTGGCTCAATGCTCTGGAGTTGGCTAAGGAACATGAGAGTCTGCAGAAGTGCTGAGGCTGCAGATATTTCTTCTATTCGTCTGGATATGGAGTCTCCTGAAGAGAAGCTGAGGAATCAGGCAACAGTCTGGAGCAGAAGGTGTCTGAGGTCACCAGTGATGAGCACAGGTCAGAGGGAGCTGAAAATCTGCATTGGCGATGGATTTGCCTGTGTGCTTGTGGGTTTGTTCTCCTTTATGTTCACGAATGTGTGTGTGTCTTTCTATGTTTGTGTTCGTGTTGTTGATAGTTGCATGCAGATGTGTGTACTATGTATCCAACTTACAGCCTGATTCTTTTCCTGAAGTAGGCCCCATCTGGGCTCTGTTTTAGTGCATGTAGACCAAGTTATTAGCCTCCTAACATGTGATTAGGGACCCCAGGTATATGTCTGTGATCTTAAATGCTTATGTCACAGCTGAGCGGATGAGAGCTAAGCATCAGGACTGAGACTGTTGTCTCCACTGCTGGAGAAGAAGATGCCCGACCTCATCAAGGAACCGAGGTCAGAGAGGGCTCAAACCTCTGCCAGCACAGTGTGCTAATGTATGTGTGAGCTGTGTTTGTGGGTCTCATACTCTTGTCTAAGAACAGGAAAGTGTATTGTTTGCTTTTGTCTGTGTGCATGTTACCATGTGTATGTTACCATGTGCACGGGTTGTTGGTGGTTTAATGACTGTGCCTGTGACTGAATAGGCTTCACTGACCCATGCTGACTGCTGACTACCTTCCCTCAGGAAGGGTATGGGTCAGAAAGGGCTAAAGTATGCCTCTCAATAATGGGAGTGTGTGCTGCTTGTTGTAGTGAGTGTGTGGCTGGGTGTGCATGTGTCTTTGTTGTCATGTGATTTGCATCTATGACCTCAAATATTTCCTTAAGTTCTCTCCTTCCAGGGCACCATTGGCTGAGACAATCACATTCCAAGTGACTCTGTTTCCTGGAAAGGATCTGCTATCATTTTCATGTAACTGAGTCACTCAGAATTTTATAACCCTTTACTTTCACTAAATGTTCCAGCCAAAATAACACCAGGCACTGTGCTGTGTGAAGTTAGAGTGCAGAATCACCATCAAATAGCGGTGAGATATTGGGAAAATTATTTAACTCCTTGGCCTCAGTTTCCACATCTATAAAATGGAAAGAATTAGTCTTACTTTGTGAACCTTACAGACCCTCAGTAAATATTTATTATTTAATAGATGTTAAAGTATGTGAGAATTTCTTGTCAGTTGGAAAATATATAAATTTGAATGAATGAAATTATCTAGAGAGGGGGCTAAGAAAATTTTGGACATGTTTGGCTTCCTTGCAGCTCTAAAATAATATGGGATGCTTGGCACCCCTAACCAATGAAAGGGGAAGTTTCCGTGTGTAGTGGTTAAGAGCATGGGCTCTGATCACATAGTCATGTTAGACTGATGACATGAAGTAGCTAATATTATTCGATAATTTTCAATTTACAGAAAATGGTAATACATATACAGTAACATAAGACTCCAGTTCTGAGGCGGTATTGTTGGAGCGTTGTCACACTCTTCCTGTGAACCTGGCCAGATCCCGGTGACCTAGAATTGTAAACTCACTGTGTCACTCTGGAAGTGGGTAGTTATTTAAAACCACTTGATGCCAGAATAGGTCCCAAACCAGAATAGACCACACGCTATCTTTCATAAGAATGATGAACTTTTAGGCTAAGGAATTTACCTATATTTCCTGATTAAATCTACACATCAGTCTTACATTCCCAGATTTTAAAAAATCTTTCCAGCTGGTAATAATTTATGTTCTTTCACCCATTTTCACTTTTCAGAAATAGAAACATAAATTATATAAATTCCATAGGCCCTCACTAGTACAGAGGGGACAGAAATGTCGCACACACACACGTGTGTATAAATAAATTTATAATATACATGATATATGATATACATAATTATATACAGTAGCCCCCTTTATCCATGGGGGATACGTTCCAATTCCCCGAGTGGAGGTCTGAAACCATACATAACTCTACACGTACATAGCTATGGTAAAGTTTAATTTATAAATTAGGCATGGTAAGAGATTAACAACAATAACCTAATAATAAAATACAGCAATTACAACAATATTCTATAATAAAAGTTTTGTGAGTATGGTCTCTGTCTCTTAAAATAACTTACTGTACTGTACTCACGCATCTTCTTGTGATGATGTGAGATGATAATGCCTACGTGATGAGATGAAGTGAGGCAAATGACGTAGGCATTGTGACGTAGCAGTAAGCTGTATTGACCTTCTGATAACATCAGAAGGAGAATCATTGAGCCGTGGCACTGTTGATTGCGGGATGTCAGGAGTAGACGATGTCTGCAGTTGCCCGCGGGGAACTGAAACCACAGAAAGTGAAACCGCGGATAAGGGGGGACTACTGTAATTTAAGGCAATTTGCGGAGGGTCATTTACCACCACAGTGAATTTTTATGATTTGGCTCCGTCTTGGTGTAGTAAATTATCCCAGTATTCCCATAAAAAATTTTACTCATAGAAAGGAGGGACTTTGCCTTTTTTGTTCACCGCTGCAATCTCGGTCCTCAGTAGAGGTCTATGTACGGACTCAATGTTTAACAAATCATGGTTCAGTGAAACAGAAAACACACTCTTGCTTCTGTGTAATGAGGTCTTCTTGGCTGCTTTTGGGTTTGGTGATTTCCTGGAGCCAGACTGCGGTAGAGGGAAGATGCATGCATCCAAAAGTATGAGAAATTAATAAGAATGTATGTAAAAATTCATTTTTTCCCAGAGAATTATAGTATGAGATTTGATGGTCCTGATCATTCATTCTAGGTTTCTGATCTTCCCAAACCTTCTCATCCCCAGCATGTAGAAGAGCAGTATGAGGCCTGAGAACAAGAGCAGTGTGTCTGAGTTCCTCCTCCTGGGGGTCCCCATCCCAATGGAGCAGCAGGGCGTGTTCTTCACCCTGTTTCTGGGCATGTACCTGATCACGGTGCTGGGGAACCTGCTCATCATCCTGTTCATCAGGCTGGACTCTCACTTCCACACCCGCATGTACTTCTTCCTCAGGCACTTGGCCTTTACTGCTGTCTCTTTCTCCTCTGCCACTGTCCCCAAAATGTTGATGGACATGCATACTAATCAAGTGTCCATCCCCTTCACAGGGTGCATTTGCCAAATGTATTTTTTCATATTGTTTGGTTATCTTGACCATTTCCTTCTTGGAGTGATGGCATATGACAGGTATGTGGCCATTCATCACCCACTGTACCAACACCACCATTGTGAGGCAGGAGCTGTGTGTCTCACTTGTAGTTGTGTCCTGGTTCTTCTGCTGTGCACCTGCCCTGTTGCACATTCTTCTCTTGGTCCAACTGTCGTTCTGTGCTGACAATACCATCACCCACTTCTTCTGTGACCTCACTGACCTCCTGAAGATGAGCTTCTCAGATACTTCCCTCAATGAGCTGCTCATTTTCACCGAGGGAGGCATGCTTTTCATCTTCATATCCAAATAGGGACCACAATCCTGAGGGTCCCCTCTACCAAAAGATTCTTCAAAGTGTTTTCTACCTGTGTCCCCCATTTCTTTGTGGTGTCTTTATACTATGGGACCACTGTAGGTATTTACTTTTTCTCCTCATCATCTGTCTCCAATTATAAATTCATAGTTGCTTTCATGATGTATACAGTAGTCATCCCCATGCTGAACCCTTCCACCTACAGCCTGAGAAACAGAGATATGAAGCATGCCCTAGAAATATTTGCTAAGAGGGTTAAGTTCTTTAAGCCACAATCACTAAATCTATAACAATTACACATTCAAAGGAATGAGGAACATATTAACTCTGGACAGACATTCTGAATGTCCAGTTGAATCTGGGCTGCACATACAACAAAGAGAGGTTGACCTTTCCCATATCCCTCTACGCCGACATGTATAAGCTTTCATTAAGCAGATTGACTTAAAGGAGTCCACATTTTATTAATGATATTTCGAATATATGATGCCTTATTATAACATGCTTGATGAGGGTAGGTGGGCAGTGAGGATGCCAACTGACAGTAGTGAGGAAGGAAGCTCCTCCATTCCCCCCCATCTCCAAGAGAATGCTGCCTTTCTTCTCTTGGCTTCCCAGCGTTAAGTTAAGAAAGAAGTTAAAAAGAGTATCAGAAAATGTTGCTTACATAAATCGAATTTCCAATTTTTAATAAGCTAACATTCTCACAGTAAAACTTCAATGACTTCTTACTTAAAAGTATGGGTTCATATGAGTTTGTCTACCTTTAATAAAGATGTGGAAATGACATGATTTTGAAAATGTCCTGTTTTATTCAATAGTTTAGTTACTTCTAAGAAAGGAATGTGAAGTAATCTTCTGGGGTGCTAGAAAAGTTTTATATCTTGGGCACAAGCACAAGTGCTGAGCAAAATATGGTGCTGAGTTATTGAGGCCTACCTAGGCTGCTCAGAAGCTGGAGGAGCTGGACGAGTAAATGCACCAAGTTTTTCACGGAGAGCTGAGGATCCAGAATAAGAAAGGACGCAAGCATAACACTCAAATAGCCCTAATAAGAATGAGAGCTGACTTTTTAAAGAGAGCAGCAGTAAAAGATGGAAGGAAATCTGAAGACGAAAGAGTGACATCTTTAGTAGAGCGAAAAAATAAAAAAAAATCTGCCAACCTAGAATACTATGTCAGCAAATATATCCTTTGAAATCGAAGGTGAAATAAAGATATTTTCAGAAAAAGAAAAACTAAAAAAAAATTTGCCAGCAGACCTGTAATAATAGAAACACCAAGGGATACTCTTTAGGCTGAAGGAAAGTGATTATAGGAGAAATGGAAAATTCAGAGATATTTGTAAGATTGGTAAATATAAAAATGCGTATGCACTGAACGAAAAAACACAAACAATAACAATGTCCTATGGGGATTATCTGAATAATCCTAATGTCACATGTCTGTGAAAATAGATTTGGAAACTCAGTTGAATTATAAAATTTCCCATGGAAATACATATTACCAAAATTGTTTCTGTATTATGCAGAACGTCAAACACATCAATTTCTGTAGAATAAACAAAGAAAGTTATAAAGCAACTACTACATAAAATAGAACCAAGCCCATATGGTTTCATGGGGATTTATATCAATGGTTAAAAACCTGATAGTTTGAATGCTGCATGAATTGTTCCAGAACATTGAAAATAAAGAAAAACATCTTAATTTGTTTTATGGATGAAACAAATACAACATTGATGTGTAAACATGGTAAAGAAATACAAAAATATGTTCAAGTTTACAGCACTTACGACTATTCATGCAAACATAGACAATAAAATATCAGCCAATAGAATCCAACACCACATCAATAAAATAATACATAATGAAGTGAGATTTTTCCAGATATTTGAAGTTACTTCATTATTAGGAAATCTTTAATATAATATAACATATTAAAAAACCTTAGGTTAAAAATCATGTAACTCTCTCCACAGATACTGAAAAAACCTCAACAGAATTTAATAACAATCCAGAAAAAAAGAATTGGTGGGTCTTCTCTTAATAAAATATATATTACATAAAATATATGTGATATATATAAATGTATTTTTATTCTATATACTGTTATATTATGTATCTTATTATACATAAATATATATTTATATATCATATAAATTTCATGCAAAATAAATTTAATATATTATATTATTTATATTATCATACATAATAAAATCTATGTTCTTTAGTTATAAAACCAACATCTTACTTAATAGGGAACCATTAGAGTCATTTCCTTTATGATCAGGATCAAAACCAGAACTCTCACTAATCGACAATGTGGTGAAAATATTCACCAATGCAACTAGACTAATGACGTCAATTAAAGTCATTATAATTGGGAAAAAAAGAAATAAAATCTTCTGATGACTTCCTATGTACATTAAAAACAGGCGAAAAAAGACATTCTGAAAGCAGAAATTGTATGGAGGTACTGTAACTGCATTGTCAGTTCAAGAGAATGCAAGTAGTTGTCAGGAGTTAGACATCTGTCAATTCTGCCTCATTTCCCCTGGATCTTCCTTCAGCCAACAAACTCACATCTTGGCAGACTAAACTCCCCGTTCACCAGTTCCTCCGTTTTTAGTGTTCAATCTGAATATGAAATGGGTCATGCCTAAACAGACCCCGCCATGTCCAATTGCCTTCCAAAAATTGACATTTGTGTGTCATTGTCACAGTTAAATTGATTTGGGTTCAATACCCTAGTGTTGTGTTCTTGTGACGTAATCCAATTTGCAACATCTCTCTTGTAATCTGCCACATTCCTCCAGTGTAATTACAGTGAGGTTTTACTTTATTTCCTTGTTTAGGCACTCATTCTAAGTTTCTATTTGTAGTACCATATTGAGTGAACTTCTTATCTCTACTCAGTCCAACATTATTATTTAATTTTCCGTGCAAAAATATTAGCATTTTGCCTTGAGTTCAAGCTCATGACCTGCTCCATTGGGATGGCCTCCAGGTGTGAAATGTTTGAGAGAGTCTTTTTTTTTTAACTTCTATAACCCCAGTCGTTATGCCACACTGAGAATGGTATTTGGACCAAGATGACAACTGATTTTCTGAAGTCTCGTGAGAGATTGCAATCATCCTTATAGGTCATTGCTGTTGCAGAGGAGTCTCTGCTACAATGAGGCTGCCTCTCCAACCTGTCAATAACTATTCACAGGCCCTTGGCCCTTCCTTTCTCTCCTTTCTTGCCTTCTTTGAGTAAATTTCCTTCAAATCTCCAGATAAGGCATCATTTTTAAACTTTTAAAGAATATTCTTCCCTAAGGTGTTAATAACTAAAGTCAACTATTGCACACCAGTCCATCATCTAAAGCAATTAATAGATTCTACTTTTATAATTTTGGCTCTTATATTATTATTCTCAAGGTGACAATATCTGTGAATTGATATTCAGTGATCTCCAGGATATATTGTTAACCAAAGAAAGCAATGTGTCCAAGAGTATCTGTAACGTGCTACCTTTTGCGTAAAAATGAAAGAGAAATAAGAAAATATACTTGTATCTGCTCATTGGAGCAAAAAGGAGCACAGGAAGCAGTCAGAGACTAAGGAGTTTGTTTTTCTAAAAGGCCTCGATGGGAATATATGGGAAGGATGGGGAGACAGGTGTACCTGTTTGTATGTTTTGACCAGGTTATCTTTTACTGTCTCAAAAATGGATAAATAAAAAGAATGGGAAACACAAAAGAAGAATAAAAGCAAAACAAATGAACTTAACTATATTTCAAATGAATAACATGATTAGACAGAAGAAGTTAAAATAACTAACCCATGTAACTCTTGTATAAAATATTTTGTCTATATACCCTAACAATAAAGAAAAAAACTATAAAAAATATTGAGCTGCATTTGCTAATTTTGTCATTCACAGTGATATGGGTTCACGACTCTGAAATTACTTAACATGTATTCCAGGTTTCAGTGAATAAGTTAAATATATTGTTGAAGAAGGGAATGACTCCTCATGATTAGGTAAAGGTGTCACAATCATGGAAAAGGAAAGGCTAGAAAAAACTCTGGTAACAGTGGAATTGGAGGTGTCAGTTTGAACTCATGGTTTTTAACACATATATAAATACGTTGAAATTTATGAATTAAATATCAATATTTATTCTATTCTCATTGCCCATTCTTTTCACTCTTTTACCAACCCACCTCCTATGAGTAACCATTTCTACCAGTTTATTCATTTATTGTTTATACTTCTTGCTTCTTTATATAAATATATATGTATAGAAGCCTTGTAAGGAATGAACACACCTAACAAATTTTCTCTCTAAATACCATTCTTCTCTAAAAGGAACTCAAATTACTTAGAACAGTGGCCAATTCCAGGGCCTGGACCAGGAAATACAAATATGATCTGGGAAAACTTTGCTGACCTTGAAAGGAAGGAAGTGCTCAACAAATTATAGGGACACAGGAGCCTGCTCAAAGGGACTCCCAAATGCTTAATCTTGAATAAATTGCGTTTCAAAAAGAATAACAACAAACAAACAAACACATAGATAAAGAGAACAGATTGGGGGTTACCAGAGGGAAAGGGGGTGGAGGGAGGGCAAAAGAGGTAAAAGGGCACATATGTAAGGTGATGGATGGAAACTAGACTATCAGTGATGAACAGGATATAGTCTATACAGAAGCTTAAATATAATAATGTACACCTGAAATTTATACAATGCTATAAACCAATTTGACCTCAATAAAAGAACTTAAAAAAATCACTACCCTAATGGATTATGACTCAGATTTAAATAAGAATCTATGAATCCATAATTATATAAATAAATTAATACAAAAAATAAACAGTGGAGAAGGGAAACTTCTCTCTTACAGAGAACTATTACATGTAGAATGATTGATGGAAAAGAAAAATCACCATTTGGCCACCACAACTACAATAATTACTTCAGGGAAGAATCACTTGATTCTTCTGGCCAGCCTGGTGGTGTAGTGGTTAAGTTCGTGAACTCTGCTTCAGCAGCCCGGGGTTTGCAGGTTCAGATCCTGAGCATAGACCTATGCACCGCTCATCGAGCCACGCTGTGGCAGGTGTCCCACATGAAGTAGAGCAGGATGGGTGCAGATGTTAGCCAGGGCCAATCTTCCTCAGAAAAAAAAGAGGAAGATTGGCAACAGGTGTTAGCTCAGGGCTACTCTTCCTCAAAAAAATAATAATCACTTGATTCTTATTAAGTATGATGTTATATATAGTGGTTGAAATTTTAAAGAAAAATAGCATCTTTATATAAATGCAATATATCTACACAAGTTATAGTTATTAATTTCAAAAATAAAAATAGTAACTTTACAGTAGAGAAACCCGGTAGACACCACCATAATTAACTGACGAAGATTTAAAAACCCAGTAATTGGAAAAATTGATATCAGCTGCCTTCTGATAAAATGCACTGTGGTATACTCGCCGAATATCTACAGCCTGAATCTGAGATACATGCCTACCTACATAATAATAAAGTGAACATGGTTAAATATTAACTTCAGGGGAATCTGGGTGAAATGTATATGAGAATTTTTTGTGTGATTTTTACTTTTCTGTAAGTCTCAAATGGTTTCAAAATTAAAAGTTAAAAAATCCTTTGTCCACAATTACTCAGTAAGAGAGAATAGAATATCCTACAGGTCTATCACTAAATTTAATGTTGGCATCCAGGTAGACAATTAGGATCTTCCAAAATAATCTCCTTGCAGCCCCCATCAGAGATAGAATATGAACTGCTGAACAATGGGCGGGGCACAGAAAGTTAATTCTATAAAATGTCATTCTTTCTCTTTAAGAATTTGCACTCTCTATAATGAAACTGTAGAGGCAATTTGACACTGAGAAAAGAAACGTCTGTAGAATAAAATGTATCAGCATATTTGTCATCCACAAATTGACACACAAATGTGTAACTAAGAAATGTTATCTATACCAGTGTGTGCTAGATAGTCTCCATTTGCCCGTCCAGGTCCATTCTCCAGCCGTCTCCACCCTGTTTTGTCTCAGGAGTCTGACCTTTACAAAAGGCATGAACTGGCCTCCCTAGTCCTTTGGATTTGGCCAATGGAAACACAAGCAAGAGATCAAATGCAGAAGCAGAGAGAGGTTGGGACATTGATTCTGTTTTCCTCCCTGCTGGACCGTGGGTTGATGGTGGCAGCCACAGCTCCTGTCCAGGTGTGCTCTCCTTCCCCTACACGTCTCACTTGATTCTCATAACCACTCCCTCCCCTATCACCTGTTTCCCACTGCTGCTAGCCCTGGGTGCCTCACCGTCCTTTAACAGTTTCCCTTAAACTTTTCAATATCTTTATAAACAAGCCATTATTACATCTCTTTAAAAAAGATCCTTTGTCCCAGCTGAAATCATGCCCAAGAAGAAAGGCATTGCTGGCATCAGGGACACCATCTCCTGGGACTCCAGTCTCCTGTGTCTCCTGGACACGTAGCTCCCCAAAGGACAGCGAGAACTTAGCCAATTAGCCTACAGTAGCTCCTCCTTGACCAGAAGCCAGGGGACATTGTTTTTCTCTTCTTGCTGGTAATTAAAAACTTACCTTTTTACTCATAGCTCCAGAGTTGACTAAGGAACATGAAAATCTGTACAAGCGCTGAAGCCACAGATATTTCTTCTTTTCATGTGGATACTGACTCTCCTGGAGAGGAACTGAGGATTCGGGCAACAGTGTGGAGCAGAAGGTATCTGAGGTCACCAAAAACAAGCACAGGTCAGAGAGAGCTGGAAATCTACATGTGGCAATACATCGGCCTGTGTGCTTGTGGGTTTGTGCGCCTTTTTGTTCAGGGATTTGTGGGTTTGTGGGTGCGCGCGTGTGTGTGCATGTTTGTGTTCATGTTGTTTGATAGTTGCCTGCATGTGTGTGTACTATGTATCTGACTCACAGCCTGATTCCTTTCCTGAGTTAGACTCAATCTGGGCTCTGTTTTACTGTCTGTAAACCAAGTTATCAGCCTCCTAACTTGTGATTAGGGATCCCTGATTTATGTCTATGATCTTAAATACTTGCATCCCAACTGAGTGGATGAGAGGTCAGCATCTGGAGTGAGATTGTTGTCTCCGCTGCTGGAGAAGAAGACACCCAATGTCATCGAGGAACCCAGGTCAGAGAGGATCCAAACCTTTGCACAGCAGTGTGTGCTAGTGTATTTATGATTTGTGTTTGTGGGTGACACTCTCATGTCTGAGAGCAGGAAAGTATACACTTCGCTTTTCTCTGTGTATGTGTTACCACGTGCATGGATTGTAGGTGGTTTACTGATGTGCCCTTGTGAATAGGCTTAACTGCTCCATGTTGACTGCTTTCCCCCAAGAAGGGTATGGGTCAGAAGGGGCTGAAGCACACCTCTCAGTAATGGGAGTGTTTGTGCTGCTTGTTGTGATGACTGTGTGGCTAGGTTTAAGTGTGTGTTCTTAATGTGTGTTTCTTATGAGGTTTTTGCATTGTGTGTGACCTTGTATGTTTTTGGTGACGTGTGTGTACAGTGATGAGTTTTGTATATGTGGTGAGTTGAGTGTTTACAAGGTACTTCATGTGTCAGGTGTGTTGATGTGCAGTATGATTGTGTTTGTGGGTGGATGGCACATCATTGCGTGTTGTGTATGTCTCACTGTATGTATATGAGTGTTTATGACCTGAACCACATACTGGCTATCTTTCCCTTAGAATGGGAAATGGTCACAGGTGACTAGAATCCTCAAATCAGCAATATGTGTGCGTGTGTGTTTGTGTGTCTGTTTTGTATGTGTGTTTGGGGCTTCCGATGTTCCCCCATGACTCAAATATTTCCTTCAGTGTCCTTCCTCTGGAACACCATTGACTGAGATAACCAAAGCTCCAAGTAACGGATTTCTGAAACGGATCTGCTATGATTTTCTCATACCTGAGTGTGACTGAATCACTCAGAGTTTTTAACTCTTCACTTAATGTCTCAGGCAAAGACACATTAGTGTCATGCTGTGTGAAGATAGAGTGCAGAAACCCCAGCAAATGGTGGTGAGACATTGGAACAACACTTAACTCAGTTTTCAATATAAAATGGAAGGAATTACACTTACCTCATGAAACTTACAGGACCTCAATAAATGTTTATTGCTTGAATAAAATGATAATAAATGTGAGAGTCTCTTGTCAATTGGAAAATAGGTAACTATAAATGAAGAGAACTATCTAGGCGGGGAACTAAGAACATTTTGAACTACTTTGGCTTCTTTGAGCCCTAAAATAACACAGGGTGTCTGGCACTTCAAATCAGTGATGGAGGAAGTTTCCATGTGTAGTGATTGACAGTGTGGGCTCTGATCACACAGACATATTATATAGAACTGCATGAAGTAGTCACTATGTTATAATTTTTATCCTACAGAAAATGGCAATATTATAGTTTATGTTTATATGGGGAATTTATATCATTCACGTTTTTATTTACTAAGAGCTAAAATAGGTGAAAGAATATTCCTTCTTAGTGTAGCTGGAAAGATTTTTAAATCTGAGAATGCAAGGCTAATGTGTGGATTTAATTAGGAAATGGTAAAATCCGTGGCCTTGTACCCAAAGGCCCAGCAAAATGTTCACCATTCTTATGAGAGAAAGTTTGTGGACTATTGTGGTTTGGAAGCTATTCTGGCATGAGGAGCTTTAAATGACCCCCGGCTTCTAGAGTGGCCATTAGTTTACAGCTGCAGGTCAATGGGACCTGGTCAGGTTCACAGAAGGAGTTGACAATGCTCCAACAACACTGCTTTGGCACTAGAGTCCCGGTTTGCAGAGGCTTGTCTACCATTTCTGCCACAGAGAATTATTATCATTTTGCTGTGCCTTGGTGTAGTGAATTATCCTTCTATGCTCATCAAAATCTACACTCACGGAGAACGGGAACTTTGCCTTTCTGTTCACTGCTGCAATCTCAGTCCTTAGTAGAGGTTCATGGTCAGACTCAATGCTCAATAAATAATGGTTCAAAGAAAAAATGAACATTCTCCTCCTTCTGTGCAATGAGGTCCTGTTGGCTGCTTTTCAGTGTTATGATTTCCTGGAACGAGACAGGGACAAAGTAAAGATGCACACATCCACATTTGTGAGAAATTCATGAATATATTTAAAAATTTGTTGTTGTCCCAGAAAAATTAGGGTATTAAATGTGATGGTCCTGATCATCCTTTCTAAGCTCCTGAGATTTACAAACTTTCTTCATCCCCAGTATATACAAGAGCAGTATGAGGTCTGAAAACCAAAGCACCATATCTGAGTTCCTCCTCCTGGGGCTCCCCATCTCTCCAGAGCAGCGGGGCTTGTTCTTCTCTTTGTTCCTGGGCGTGTACCTCACCACAGTGCTGGGGAACCTGCTCATCATCCTGCTCACCAGGCTGGACTCTCGCCTCCACATCCCCATGTACTTCTTCCTCAGCCACTTGGCCTTCTCTGACATTTCCCTTTCATCTGTCACGGTTCCAAAGATGCTCATGAACATGCAGACTCAGAAACAATCCATCACCTATGTGGGGTGCATTTCTCAGATGTATTTTTTCTTAGTTTTTGCTTCTCTTGACAATTTCCTTCTTGGAGCGATGGCATATGACAGGTATGTGGCCATCTGTCAGCCACTCCACTACACAACTGTTATGAGACAGGAGCTGTGTTTCTCATTAGTAGCTGGGTCCTGGTTCCTCAGTTGTGCACATGCTCTGTTGCACACTGTCCTCTTTGTCCAACTGTCCTTCTGTGCTGACAATACCATCCCCCACTTCTTCTGCGACCTCACTGCACGCCTGAAGATGAGCTGCTCAGACATCTCCCCCAATGAGCTGGTCATCTTCACCGAAGGAGGAATGTTTTTCTTCTTTACTTTGAGTAGCATCATCGGGTCATATATCCAGATAGGGACCAGTGTCCTGAGGGTCCCGTCCACCAAGAGACTTTCTAAAGCATTTTCTACCTGTGGTTCCCATCTCCTTGTGGTGTCTTTTTACTATGGGACACTTGCAGTTGTTTACTTTTCCTCGTCACCATGAGACTCCAATGACAGAAACATAATTGCTTCGGTCACATATGCGGTAGTTACCCCAATGCTGAACCCCTTCATTTATAGCCTGAGGAACAGAGATATAAAACAGGCTCTAGAAATATTTGTCAATAGGGCTAACTTCTTTAAGTGACAATCACTAAGTCCTCTCATTGCAGTCATGAGCACAGTGAGATGTATCCTCCAAAATTATTGTACTGTTGACAACTCCATATAACTTTAGAAGAATGTGCATTCTGCTGTCTTGTATAGTGTTGTTAACATGTTAACTAGGTCAAATTTGCTACTTAGATTGTTAAATATTCTTTACTCCTAATTAATTTCTTGGCTTATTCATCATCTCTTAAAAGATATGTAGAAAATCTTACGCAAAACATGTCACACAATTATAATTATAGATTTGTCGTTTCTCCTTTTAGTTGTGTCAGTTTTTGCTTATGTATTTTTTTATGCTATGTTAATGAGGACACACAGATTTAGCATCATGATCTGCTCCTGGTAGACTGATTCTTTTATTTAGTAGTGTGCTGAGCTGACTTGCATTGGCTTCAAGCTGATTGTGCATATTTCTTCCCAACTGTATATTCAATGACGTCATGTTAGTAGATTGAAATCAGCCATAACGGGAAAAATAACATTATGGAAATTAGAAAATACTACAAAGCAAAGGTTTGTTAAAAAAAAAGAGAGAGAGAAAGTTAATTTTTATGCATTTAACATTATATCACTGCATTTGTAATTGCAAGATATTCCTCTTTATCTCTACAATGGCTCCTACCTTAACATCTCATCTACTTCTTCTGATATTAGGATACATATACTAGCTTTCTTTTGGTTAGTGTTTACATGGTATTTCTTTTCCATCACTTTACTTTAAACTTTTCTATGTTCTTATATCTGTGAAGTGTCTGTTGTTAACAGTGTAAAGTTGGGTTTTGCTGTCTTACGCAGATTGACAATCACTATATTTCTGAAGAATTTGATGAATTGACAGCTAATGTAAGCATGATATATTGAGTTGATATTTTCCATATCACTATATCTTTTTTATTTGAGACATCCATTTCATATTTCTTTTCTCTTCTGTTTCTCCCTTTTCACTATTTAGGTATGTATTTTGTTATTCCCTTCCCCATCTTTTAACTTACTAATCATACACTACTCTTTTCTTATAGTTCTTTCCTTTGTTTTATGTTGAGACTCTTCTTACTTTCTCTTTAAAATATTTTCATTGTAATACAATATACATAACATGAAATTTAATATTTTAACCATTTGAGGTATACAATTTAGTGGCATTTACTGCATTCATCACCACAATCTCATTCTTGGATGTCAAAAGGAAACTCTACAGAACATCGATATAATTGAGTGCTTTGCAGCTGTGTAAAAATAATAACAAGGATACCTCTGAATCAATATGGAGGTATTTCCAGGATATTTTTAAATGGAAAAAAAAAAGCAATGCATGAAAAAGCATCTGTAGCCTGCTATTTTTGTGTAAAAGTGAAGTGGAAATAAAATATACATGTATCTGCCCATTTGGGCAAAAAGAAACACAAGAAGAATAAATCAGAAACTAGTGAGATTGCTACAGGAATTGAGTGGGAATGGGGTAGAAATGATGAGGATATGAATATGTTTATTTGTATAGTTTTTACTATGTTATCTTTTACCTACTAAGAAATTAACGGAAGAGGGTGGAGAATAAAGCAAAATAGAATAAAATAAAACAAATGAACCTAACTATATTTCAAATTGCTACCATAATTAGACTAAAAGGGAACATAAAATAACTAACTTAAGTAAGTCTTGAACACAGAATTTTGTCTATATACTCTCCCAATAAAAAAAAACTGTAAACAAATCTTTTGAATTGCAGTTAGTTTGTCATTAATAGGGGTATAAGTTCAAGATTCTAAGATTTCTTAACAAGCATATAAGTAAACATATTGTGGAAAAGGAAATGACTGCTCACTGTCGAGGTGTTGATGCAAATAATTGGTAATCATTCTGTTGTAAAGAAAAGAAGAGAGTGTTATTCAAGCCAAACTGAGGACTATAGCCCTAGACTCACACCCTTTGCAAGGGAGGAAAGCACTCCAGAGAAGAGCAATATTCAGTGTTTATATAACATTTCCAAACAAAGAAACATACATCAAGCATGACAAGGGTACATTCCTCCAAAGGTTCAAGAAGAATGTCATTACAGATTAGCATATACACAGCAGGTCAACATGACCCTGGTGTCATAAGAAGGGAGATATTAATTCTTATCTTCAAAGAGTAACTTCTTTACTTTAGGGTAGTGATTAAAGCAGATGTACAAGGCATGTTTGCTAGCCCATAAGTCAGGCTTCTTTGGTTCAAGTAAAATTCAGGCCAAATCAAGTTCAAACAAGAATGGCTTCACCATGTATCTTAATATAAATATATTTTTTTTATTTCCCCCTTTGGATACTAATCTTTTGATAGAAAGCATTGATGATTGAATATTGTCCCTCAATGCCAGAGTGGTTTCTTCCTGCCCTGGGTCCATCATTTCCCTGGAGCTGGGCTTTATTTCAATTGATCTACCCCATAATCCACACTGAGGGGAAATAGCTGAATATAATTTATAATCATAGATGTACACACTGATGAGACAAGTTATTTTATAGGTTATATAAATTTTCAGTTAGGTCAAATTGTCATGCAATCATTGTATGTGTGCTTTGGTAAGACCTTTGGTGATTACATTGTTTATAACATTTATAAAATGGATATAATAACAATAATAAGAAATCCATTCAAACACCATGTCTGACCGGGAAAGAGAAACAATAGAAAAAATAAACAAATGGGACTACATCAAACTAAAAAGCTTCTGCACAGCAAAGGAAACCATCAACAAAACGAAAAGACAACCTAACAATTGGGAGAAGATATTTGCAAACCATACATCTGATAAGGGCTTAATCTCCAAAATATATAAAGAACTCATGCATCTCAACAACAAAAAAACTAACAACCCAATTAAAAAATGGGCAAAAGACCTGAACAGACATTTCTCCAAACAGAATATATAGATGGCCAACAGACACATGAAAAGATGTTCAAAATCACTAACTATCAGGGAAATGCAAATCAAAACTACAATGAGATATCACCTCACGCCCGTCAGAATGGCTATAATTAACAAGACAGGATACAACATGTGTTGGAGGGGATGTGGAGAGAAGGGAACTCTCATACACTGCTGGTGGGAGTGCAAACTGGTGCAGCCACTATGGAAAACAGTATGGAGATGCCTCAAAAAATCAAGAATAGAACTACCATATGATCCAGCTATTCCACTGCTGGGTATTTATCCAAAGAACTTGAAAACATCAATGCATAAAGATACATGCACCCCTGTGTTCATTGCAGCGTTATTAACAATAGCCAAGACTTGGAAGCAACCTAAGTGCCCATCAAGGGACGAATGGATAAAGAAGATGTGGTATATATACACAATGGAATACTACTCAGCCATAAGAAATGATGAAATCCAGCCATTTGTGACAACATGGATGGACATTGAGGGTATTATGCAAAGTGAAATAAGTCAGAGGGAGAAGGTCAAATACCGTATGATTTCCTTCATTAGGTGGTAGATAATAACAACAATAAACAAACACATAGAGACAGAGATTGGATTGCTGGTTACCAGAGGGGAAGTGGGGAGGGAGGAGGGCGAAAGGGATAATTCGGCACATGTGTGTGGTGATGGGTTGTAATTAGTATTTGGGTGGTGAACATGATGTAATCTATGCAGAAATAGAAGTATAATGATGTACACCTGAAATTTTTACAATGTTATAAACCAATGTTACTGCAATAAACAAAAAATTAAAAAAAAAAAAAAGAAATCCATTGTAATATTTGAAGTAGCCAATGTGGAGTAGACACGGATTTAGAGACAAGACAAAAATCCGTTACAGGAATTTTGGCAACTTTGTACTAATTTAAGTATTTATTTACTCCCTTTATCTACTGTTATTTGATCATCAATATCAATATTAGTGTAAGTCTTATTATCTTTAGGCAGTTCTATTTGACTAGCAAAGCTGGTATTACACCATATTGCAGTAAAGTTACTATAAAAAGTACTTTGATTGCAATACATGTAAGAAAGTAAGACAGAGGTATTTGTAAACCTTCCCAACAAAATTTCCCCTCATCCATATACCATATATTTGTTCGCATGGTTGTGGTTGTTATAGGCCAATTAGAAGAAAATGTAGGGTTTGGGGCATAGTCACATACTTTGTCGGAATTCACAGATTTGTGTACATGTAAGTGTCCTGTAAGAATTATTTGATAATAAAGCCCATCTTCCCTCAACAAGGAGAATTCTGGTAGAATTTAAAGTGGTCCCTATTCCTCCTACTTGAACAACATCATAGGTGTAGCTTGTTGTAAGTTTAGGTACTAAAGCTGTGATTGAACACTTGTGTGAATTACATGTTCCTTTAAATTGGAATCCAGGAAAGCTTCTTATCCTGTTCATGATAGGCTTGAATATAAGACATTAGAGACTTAACAGTAGCTGGTTATACTAGCATAAAATGACAAGAGATCAGCAGAAGATTGTGTACCAACAGACACTGATCTGCTTGTGAGCACCCCATGTGGGGTCAGCTCATGTTTTCCAAAGAGGGCACTGTGAGCAGTCAGCGAGACCAAAACCGGTACCTTAGGCCAGGGGAGTCCAGTCTAAATGTATATAACAAAATTAACAGCACTATAATCCACCATCTACAAAGGTGCAACATAAGTTTCTCTCTACAATTACACTACTTTTTACCAAAAATAATCACCATAAAATTAACTTGTATACATTAAAAAATTGGCCTTATTGTTTATATAAGTGAAAAGAAGAATACTCACTGAGAGTTTCTGAGTTCTGGAGGGATCAGGTACAGAGAAAAAGTAAATATTTCATCTTTGTTCACAAAGGTATATCTTACCAAATTGTTGACAGGTTAAGAGAAAAGAGTCTTTTAAATCTGGAAAAACAAAACATTAGTGCATCCTCCTTTGTTAATATAGTCCTGCATAATTAATATTTGATCTGGATCTTTAGTTAGCAGTTTTGCAAAGCAATGAGTTTCTCCATTTCTGTAATGTCTTACCTAGTTCACTTTTGTGTTCTGAAATTTTATCAGAAACCTGATTTCTAAAGTGACAGAGGCCTTGCCATGAATCCCTCTGAAGATGAAACATATTTGCAAAAGCATCAGAGTAAAACAATAACTATCTATAGATGACAAAAGACTTAACATTATAATCAAATTGACTAGGAAATTTGGTTATTTATATGACATATTTTAAGATAATAACTAGAATTATGACTGATAACCAGGACAGATCAAAATTTTAGGAATGCTATATAATTTTTAAAACCCTTATGTTAATCACATTTACCCACATAATATAAGCTCAGAAGGTTTATCATCATTTCTTTGGCAATGCTGCCCATGCAATTTAACATGCCAAAGAAGTGTAATTATTTTAATATCTCCCTTTTTATAGGAAGAGAAAACAACTTCTTTGAGATGTCCCTGGGGACTGCTGGAAATTACCATAATTACTTTTATGTCAAAAGAAAGACTTTATTTTGAATTTGAATTTTGGGAAATTTGTCCAAAATGTCAAAAGTTTAGGAAGACTTGGTCAAATAGGATCATAGGTCACTGTGAAACAATGCTTAGTTATCCATTTAACCATGGTGACAATTAAAGATTTTCAGGCAAATATAGAAATTTAAATACTTATAAGGAAAACCTTACCTCTTGGGAATATAGGCCTGAAAAAAAATGCAAGAAATTTATTTTGATAAAACATAAAAACCCTGCTTTTTTGGTAAAATATTCAAAGGCAAAGAAAAAAGTCTTTCATAATTTCCTTAACACGAGCAGACTAAAAGTCCAAGGAAATTATTCCTTTAAGAGAAGTAAAACTGAATTCTAATTTTTGCACCAGTTTACTTTTGATATTAAAAACTCATTTACTTAATTAAATTCATTTCAGTCTTAGCCAACTTGACCATGCACAAACTCTTTCCTCAGAGATTCTCTTCCACAAACCTTCTATAACTTTCTTTTTTACAGTCAAAATTTGTCCCATGCATTTCCTTCATCCTAGTACTTTAGGACAATCTAATTTCTTAACAAAACAACCATCAAAAAGATCTCTATTCTTTATACTTTCTTTACTGAAAACATGCAGCTTAATTTCTTTGTGTACAAGGATGTTTCCCTTATTCTTTACATTAACATCCTGTTGATTGGAAGACTTATACATACTGTCTAGGAACATGTGCTTTCTCATAGAACATTTTTTCAGCATGGCACAAAGCATATTTATTAATAAAACAGGTATTTTTCTAGTTTCTCTGTAATAAGACACCAAAGGTAGATAAATCTACGTTTAGTATTTTTTTTTAATTTTTTGTTTATTGCAGTAACATTGGTTTATAACATTGTATAAATTTCAGGTGTACATCATCATACTTCTATTTCTGATAGATTACATCATGTTCACCACCCAAATACTAATTACAACCCATCACCACACACATGTGCCGAATTATCCCTTTCACCCTCCTCCCTCTCCCCTTCCCCTCTGGTAACCATGATTTTTTAAATAGTTTTATTGAGGTGTAATTGGTATACAAAAAAACTGTATATGTTTAATGCATACAATTTGATGAGTTTGGACATGTGCATACATATGTGAAACTATCACTACAATCAAGGTAATGGACATATCCATCACCTCCAGAAATTTCCTCGTGGCTCTTTTTTTGAGTGTGATTAGAAAAAATAACATGAGATTTACACTTGTTTAATGTGTAACTGAACTGTCAATGTTTAACTGAACAATATAGTATTGTTGACTGTAGGCACTGTGCTGTATAACAGGTCTCTAGAAATAGTTCATCTTGCATAACTGAAACTTTATATCAATTGAATAACAATTCTACATGTTCTCCTCCACGTAGCCCTTGGTAACCACTGTTATTCTCTGCCTCTGTGAGTTTGACGATTTTAGATACCTCATAAAAGTGAAATCACGCAATATTTGTTTTACTGATACTGGCTTATTTCACTCAGCATAATGTCCTCCAGGTTCATCCATGTTATCACAAATGGCAAGATTTACTTCTTTTTTAAGGCAGAATAATATTCCATTGTATATATGCTACATTTTCTTTATCCATTCATCTGTTGATGGACATTTGGGATGATTCCATAACATAACTATTTTGAATAATACTGCAATGGACATGGGAGTGCAGATATCTCTTTGAGATACTGATTTCAATTCTTTTTGATATATACCCAGAAGCGAGATTGCTGGACCATGTGGTAGTTCTATTTTTAGTGTTCTGGAGCACCTCCATACTGTTTTCCATAGGGACTGCACCATTTTGCATTGCCACAAACAATGTAGAAGGATTCTTGTTTATGTGTTTTTTACGTTACTTATGACAAAATGTTTCATTTAAAAATTGTATGTAAGTTGGTATGAACCCATGCAAACCTCTACATTTTCAAGCAGGATGTGTATAGGTCAGAGAGGGCCAAAAAGCAGCACCTTGGTCTTCTCCATTTCTGTGTCATGGCATGTCACTCTGTGTGTCATTTTTGTGTACAGCACACTCACATTCTAATTCTACTCACCTTGAGTGGGTATAGAGCAGAGGGCTAAGTGAGTGACATAGCAATATGTGTATGTATTTTATCTGGTGAAACAGCCACACAGCCTGACTCTTCTCTTGTCTCAGCTCTAAACATAAACAGGCTCTAAGCAAAGTCCTCTTTAGGCAAAGTTGGTGGCAGTTTGTCCTTGTGGTTTGAAGGCTAATGAACTTCTCTAGGGCCCTGAATTTTCTTCATTGACTTTCAATGATTTCTACATTTCCACTCTGGGAAACACGATGTGGTCAATTTTGGAACCTTGTCTAGTCAATTAGATGACTGTGAATTCTGATATAACTCCTCAGTTCTATAGCATGTGTAAAATATCAGTTCTCTGGCCACATCATTGGGCATATTCTCATCTCACTCACTTTGCATGTATGCTCAGAACTCAGCATCCTGAAGCATTAGAGATGGAAGGGGAGAGTAAGACAACGGCAGATATGAAGTAAGTTATTTCTTGGCAAATGTATTAAAAATGTTGTGAGTCAAGTGCTGTGGATGTACTAATCTTCAGAGGCCATTGTCTGGACCTGTATTGTTTCCCTGGATGCAGGAGAGAGACCACAGAAGTAAACACACATTTTCAGGAAGCTATTTGGTCTTGCTTGGTGGTCTCCCCATATATTTGTTATCTTTAATTCCTGATGTGTGATCTTGGTCACTCATCCTGCCAATATAATGAGTTTATTTTTTTAAATTCTTTTAGTCACTCTCTTTTTGATTGCTGTTTTTAGTCAATAATTTATTAACTCTTGTTGATATATTTTCTAAATTCAAAAATTTACTTTCATGTAATATAAATAACATAAAATTTACCATCAACTATTTTTAAGTGTACAGTTTTGTGGAATTAAGTACATTCATATTGTTGTACAACCGTCACCACCATCCACCTCCAGAACTTTTTTATATTCTCAAACTGAAACTGTACCCATCGAACAACAACTCCTCATTTTCCTTCCTCCCAGTCTCTGGCAACCACCATTCTACTTTTTGTCTCTATAATTTGACTGCTCTAGGAGTCTCATATATGAAGAATCATATAGTATTTATGCTTTTGAGATTGTCTTATTTTACCTAGCATAATATCTTCAAGGTTCATCCATGTCGTAGGATATGTCAGGATCTCCTTCCTTTTTAACGCTGATAATATTCCACTGTATGTATATACCACATTTTGTTTATCCATTTATTTGTCAACAAACATGGGTGTTTCCATCTTTTGGCTATTGTGCATAATGCTGCTTGGAACGTGGGTGTACAGTTATCTGTTTGAGACCCCACTTTCAATAGTTTTGGGGTATATACTCCAAAGTGGAATTGCTGCATCATATGGTAACTCTATGTTTAATTTTTTGAGGAATTGCCATAACGTTTTCCACAATAGCAGCACCATTTTACATTCCTACCAGCAATGCACAAGGGTAGAATGATTTCTCAAGATCTTTACAAATGTTTGTTACTTTTTTCTTTTCTTCTTTTTTTTTTTTTTTTTTTTGGATAGTAGACATTCTAATGGTATGAAGTGGGTTTATGTGTTGAGCAATTATTTTGTTGTTGGTATGTTTCTTTAATTCTCCCAATAAAGCTATAAGTGGCCTGTGTGTATGTGTGAGTGAGAGAGAGAGAGAGAGAGAGAGAAAGAGAGGATGCAACAATTGGGATAAGCAAGAATTAGACACAAGCACATAAGTAGTCAGGCTGCAGAGCCATGCTATTAATCAGTACTCTATGAGGTTGCTCACTAGAATGTGTGCTCCCCACAGGAAGGGCCTGGGTCTTAATTACCACTTTCTCTCTAGTGCCTATCACAGTGTTTCCACATGTGTTAAAGAAAAACACTGAATCATTCCTGATCTTCATTGGAGTTCGATGTAACATACTTTCTCCAAGTGACTATGTCAGTGTACCAACAAATCCCATTGCATTATGCATTACAGTAATTGCTATGCTCAACATTTTTAAGTTCCTGTCATTTCCCATTGCTCTTCATTCCCAGAAGAGAGAAATGTAGCGTGAGCAGGGATAACAAGAGCAGTGTGTCTGAGTTCCTCCTCCTGGGGCTCCCCATCCTGCCAGAGAAGCAGGGCATGTTCTTCACCCTTTTCCTGAGCATGTACCTGAGCATGGAGCTCATCATCCTGCTTACCAGGCTGGACTCTCACCTCCACACCCCCGTGTACTTCTTACTCAACCACTTGTCTCTCACTAATGTCTCATTTTCATCTGTCACTGTCTCTAAGCTGCTGATGAACATGCAGACTCACTGCCAATCTATCACTCACACAGGATGCATTTTGCAGGTGTATTTCTTTATAATATTTGTTTGCCTTGATAGCTTTCTTCTTGTAGTGATGGCATATGACAGGTATGTGGCCATCTGTCACTCTCCCCACTACATCATCCTGAGGGTAGAGCTCTGTGTTTTGTTGGTGATTGGGTCCTAGGTCCTCGCCTATGCCATTGCCCTGTCACATACACTCTTACTAGTCCCATTGTCCTTCTGTGCTAATAGGACCATTCCCCATGTCTTATGTGACCTCGCTGTTCTGCTCAAGGTCTCCTGCTCAGACACCTCCCTCAATGACTTCCTCATCTTCATTCTACGGGTAATGTCTGTCTTCTTGCCATTAAGTGGCATCCTGTTCTCTTATGTCATTATTGAGGTCTTTACTCTGAAGGTCCCCTCTACCAAAGGGATCCGCAAAGCCTTATCCACATGTGGCTCCCACCACTCTGTGGTGTTTATATTCTATGTGACAATTATTGGGCTATATATTTTTTCATCATCTAGCAATTCAAAGAACAGCATTATTGCCTCCATAATGTACACGGTTGTCACTCCCATGCTAAATCTCTTTATGTATACCCTCAAGAACAAGGACACGAAAGGGACCTTGGCAAGACTATTCAAGAGGGTGAACTCTTATCATAAGTGACAATCACTCTGCCAGATTATTAATTCACCAAAGATTCTGTTAAATTTCCTCCCTTGAGACATTGTGTGCTGACCATCCTTGTCATTGACTACTTCCCAATACTCCTATTAAATTTTCTCTCCCTTTTTCACATGGTTGGAGACTATTTCCACGCCTCCATTTCCCCACCTCCTTACACTGCAACCTATATTTAATGATCCTGCACCAAATCTCCAGGTACACAGATATCCCTGTGTTATTTACAGTCATGCTACGAGGTTTGGGACACACTCGCTAGAGTTTTTTGAGATTTGCTTTTCTCTTTCTGTTCCATTAACGTGACACGAAGCATTGACTGTGATGATACATTTTCATCTCCGTTTTCGGAAAGTACAGGAATTCTTTATCTTACAAATGAGAAATTATAATTCAGAACAAGCTATAGAAATGCATCATTTCCAACAGAAGTAACGGTAGCTAGCATATTTATTATTTTTTAAGCCCTTATAGGTACTAGCTCATTAAATTCTCTTTACCACCCTATAAAGCTGATGGTATTATGTTTTCCATTTTACAGACAAGGAAACCAAAGAAAATACGACTGCACCAGAACTCAAACACAAATCTATTTGATTAAAACTCATGTTTTTAACTTTAACTTATTTTGCGTGTTAAAAGAGAGGACTTCACGATCCTCATCTCCTTCTCTTTCTCCTCTTATTAACTTTGTCTGTGTACCAGTCTCTGGGAAATGGCTTCATCACACCAAATTTGTTTCCCGCACCTAGCTAAGTGTCTGCTGCTGAAATACCATGTCATAAATACTAATTAAAATTTAAATTTTTCCTTCTTTTCCCTTAGTTCTTTTCCCCCTTTCTTCCTTCCTTCCACAAATATTGAAACTGAGGATGAAGGAGTTAAAATTTCCCTAGATTAGGGTGAAACTGTGCCTTATACCCACTAGGTTAAAGTGGGAAACAAATTAACCAAAGTGTCTGAGCTTGTTTTACAGAACAGCAGGAGGACCGCTGATAAGACAGTAGCCTGCTGACAGCCCCACCCCCCTGCCTAAGCAGCTCGCTGGGGAATTGAGAAGCTAAAATGACTGATCGTAATCAGTATTTGGGTGGTGAACATGATGCAATGTATGTAGAATTAGAAGTATAATGATGTACACCTGAAATTTATAGAATGTTATAAACTAATGTTACCACATTAAAAAAAAGAATCAAAAAAAAATGTGACCATCTGAAAAAATAAAATAAAATGACTGATTATAAACACTAGATGTCACAGACTCAAAATCCACCACATGCAATACATAGGACGCCCCCGCCGTGAATTTTCACATGCAACCCATGAGGAAATATGAAAGACAGTCGAACCTGCGCAGACTCTTAGAACTTCAGCCCCCAAGGCCACATGCTCCCCCTCCCCTACCTAAAACTTCAGAAAAAACTCCTACCTTTTACCCTTGGAGGAGGTTGACCTGAGTTTCAACTCACATCTCCTCTGTGGCTGCCTTTCGATTATAAACCTCCTTCTTTGCCAAAAGCAAATAACATTTCGGTTATTGGCACTCTTGTGTGGCAGGTAAATGTGTTTGTGTTCAATATTATTGAGGTCTAACTCAGTGTCTGCTGTCATAGTGAACGCTAGGAATAAATGGTCAAGAAGAGAGCATACCACGCCCAACATGAAGCACAGAGGGAAAAGTGAAAATAAGACAAACAGAGATGATGTGGGACAACTTCAACCACTTTAATATATATTTAATTGGTGTACCTGAAGGAGAGGAGAGGACACAAAAATATTTGAAGAAATAATGCCTCAAAATTTACAAGTTTTATGAAAATGTTAATCTCACAGATCCAATAAGGTCAATGAATCCTAAGCAGAAAAAAAACGGAAGAAAACTATAGCATGTTACATCGTCATTAAATTGTTCAAAACCAGAAATAAAGGAAAAAATCCTAAAAGAAACCAGAGAAAAAACACACTACATGCAGAAAAAGAAAGATAAGGATAACACTAGATTTCTTACTAGAAACAAAGCAAATGAGAAGACAGTTGAATGACATCTTTCAAGCACTGGAAGAAAATATTGACCCATCTTGAATTCATAATCTGCAAAAATATTTTCAAAAATAAGACATACAAAAGCAGAGACTAATAATCACCAGTAGACCTGTATTACCAGAAATGTTAAAGGAAGCCCTTCTAGAAGAATACAATTAATATCAGATGGAAATACAGAACTAAACAAAGCAATGAAAAGCATTAAATATAGTGACTATGTGGGTAAATATATAAGATTACTCATTATGTAAACATCTTTAAAAGTTAATCATTTAAACAAAAAAAAATAACATAGTAGTGTGGGTTTAGTAATTTATGAATAAGTAAAATGCATAAAATCAACAGCTGAAAGTCACGACCAGAGATATAAGTATACTATCTTAATGTTCCTAGACTATGCATCGATTTGTGTAATATCATTTGAAGGTAGAATAACACAAATGGTTATAGGTATTAAGTCAACAAAAGGAAGAAATCTAGTCATAAAGAATACTTAAAAGAAGTAAGAAAAAGAGAAAAAATGGAACACAGAACAAATGGGTCAAAGAGAAGACAAATAGTGAGATGATAGACTTAAATTTAACCATATCAAAATGAAGGGTCGAGATTGTCAGCTTTAAAAGGAAAAAAGAAAGCAAAATCACAAGACTCAACTATGCTGCCTAAAATAAATGCATTTTAAATATATAGACACAAATAGTTTAAAAGTAAAAGAATTTAATAGTGATATACCATGCTAAAACCAATAAAAATTCTGAAGTGTGTATATTAATACCAGAAAAAGTAGAATTCATAGCAAGGAATATTCTCAGGTGTAAAGAAAGTCATTTCCTAATTATAACGGAATAAATAAATGAAACAGCTATAACAATTTTAAGCATTTGCACTACTAATATACAGGTAATACCAGATTTCCCAAATACATGAAGGAAAAACATAGCAGTAAACCTCTATGTTGGAAAAGACAAAAAATCTCAAATCATTGACCTCAGCTTCTATTTTAAGAAGCTAAAAAAGGGAAAAACAAGAGCAAATTACAGCCAAATTATGCAGAACAAAAAATAACAAAAATCAGAGCAGAAATCAGTGAAATGGAGAGTGGAAAGCAACAGAAAAATAATGAAACCAAAAGCTGGTGTTATTATAAGGAAACAATTTTGATACACTGCTAGCAAGACTGGATCAGTGATGATAAAGAGAACACACTAATTACTAATGTCAGGAATGAGAGAGATGATTTCACCACAGATTCTAAGGATATGAAAAGTATAAGAAGGAAATGTATTGCAAACTTTCTGCTGATAAATTTGGCATATTAGAGGACATGGAACCGAAAAAAAAAAAAAAAATGAAAGAGACAACCTACCAAAACTCCCAAAGGAAGAAGTAGATAACCTTAACTGCTGCAGCCACATGGAAAACAGTATGGCGATTCCTCAAAAGATTAAGGATAGAACTACCATACAACCCAGCTATTCTACTGCTGGATATTCATCCAAAGAACATGAAAACACCAATGCATAAAGATACATGCACCCCTGTGTTCATTGCAGCATTATTCACAATAGCCAAGACTTGGAAGCAACCTAAGTGCCCATCAAGGGATGAATGGATAAAGAAGATGTGGTATGTATACACAATGGAATACTACTCAGCCATAAGAAATGTTGAAATCCAGCCATTTGTGACAACATGGATGGACATTGAGGATATCATGCCAAGCGAAATAAGTCAGAGGGAGAATGACAAATACCATATGATCTCACTCTTAAGTAGAAGATAAAAAAAAAAAACAGACACATAGAGACAGAGATTGGATTGGTGGTTATGAGAGGGGAAGTGGAGAGGGAGGAGAGCAAAAGGGATGATTAGGCACATGTGTGTGGTGATGGATTGTAATTAGTATTCCGGTGGTAAACATGATGTAATCTATGCAGAAATAGAAGTATAATGATGTACACCTGAAATTTATACAATATTATAAACCAATGTTAACACAAGAAAATAAAATAAAATAAAAGGAAAGAAAAAAACAGCCTTATATCTAATAACAAAACTGAATTTGCAGTTAAAAATCTTTCACAAAGAAAAATGCAAACCTAGAGAGTTACATTAGTTAATCTTATCAAATATTTAAGGTAGAAATAATACCAATTTTACATAAACTTTTGCAAAACATTAAAGATGAGAAAATCCTTTCCAACTCATTCTGTGAGACCAGTAACACTCTGATACCAAAAACATACAGACGCTACCAGAAAGAAAAAAAAAAAACACACAAACTAATGTCCTTCATGAACATAGATGCAAAAACTACAAGCAAATTGGGGCAAATTAAATCCAAGAATATGTAAAAAGGATAATACTTCATGATCAAGTTGATTTTACCCAGGAACAGAAAGATGGTTTAAATTTCATAAATCAATCAATGAAACTTATAATAAATGAAAAAAGAAAAATATATTTATCTCAATAAGTGCAGATAAAGAATTTGAAAAAT